GGGAAAAAAACTGGGGAGATGGTACAAAGGCGGAAAAAAAGGGGGAAAGAGAGGGGTGGAGAAGACGCGGAGATCCCGCCCCGGAAGAAAATCAAAAACAGCCCCCTCAAATTCTTAAAAGAAGCCCCCCCCCCAGGGGCAAATAAAATGCAACCAAACACTCCCAAAAACAAAAAAACCCCTGGGCCCAAAACCAAAGCCCCCCCCCACTACATTAAAAACTTTCCCCCCCACAGCAACAACCCCTAGTTCCTTTCCAGGTCTCCCCCCTTCCCCCAACCCCCAAAATACCCCCCAGACCACGTCTTAGAAAAGAAGTTGAAGGTGTGGTATACAAATGCAGATGGGGAATTTAAAAAAAAAGTATGAGGAGTGGCATTTTAAAAAAACAAAGAGAAAATCCCAAAACCTTTTTAGCACTCACAGAAACAAAAATTTACCGAATAATAAAAAAGATTCAACTTTCCATCCCGGGTACCAAAAATCAGGAAAGCAGAGGGAGGGAGGGAGGGGGGGGGAGGGGGTTGCACTGCTTTATTTAAAAAAAGTGGGATTTTGGGGAAAATGGAAGGAATGGGGTGGCCTGGGCGAAAGGGACTAATTTTTAGGAACAATCCCGTTTGAGGGGGCTTAAAGGGGATAATTGCCAGTAATGGGACAACCACCCCAGAACTGCAGGAGGCCAAGAGAAGAATACGATTTAGGCAACAGGGGCAATGATCGACACATAGCCGAGGGGGCCCGGAGAACCCCACATGGGGGGGCCCAAAATTCTAGTTATGGGGGGGATTTTTTAAACCCCCGGGGGAAATTTACTGGGGAAACCTGGAGCCCATGGGGGGGCCCGAAACATGGGGGAAACCCAAAATGATGGATGTGGTATGGGGAAAAACCCATGCATCAACATGTTAGAGGGCACTTTCCAGAGAGGAGGAAAAGGATGAAAACCCGCAAGGCTGGACCCTTTTATTCCCATTGGGGTATTTTGGGAATCGGGGTTTTATGTTGAAAGGCCTTTTGGGAGTAGTGTTTTGTGGGGGCTGTGCTTCAATACAAAAGTTGAGCTCCAAGTGGAGAGAGTAGCAGGAAAAAAGGTGGGGAAAAACCCAAAAACTACAAAAGGGGGGGAAAATTTCCCAGGCCCTGAGGAACTTCCTTCAAGACATTCCCGTGGGAGGGGAAAATGAAGGGAAAACCCGTTCAAGAAATGATGGATATTTTAAACAAAAAATGTAAAGGAAAGGGAGAGGGAGAGGTTTGTTCCCAAGGGGGAAAAAAAAGGGAAAAAATGGGAAAAAACAGAAATGAGTCCCTTTGGTTCACCCAAAGGTGTAGGGAGGGGAAAAATAGGAAAACTAGAGAATGGGGGAAAAAGGGAAAAGAAGAAAGGGGAACTTTAGGGAAAAAAAAGAAATCAGCCGAAAAGCCCGAAAAGGGAAAATGCACAGATAAAAAGGGGGGGGTTTAGAGACAAATTTTTAAAAATGACCCTTAAACATCAAAAAGTAAAGGGCTGACCCCAAAACTGTTGTACAGCCACATAGGAGGGGAAAAAAAAACGTCAAGGACCAGGTAATCAGACTGGGGAAGGGTGATAGGGAATTCACAAGAAACGACCGAGAGGTTTGTCAGGAGCTCAACACAAGATTTAAAGAGGTATTTACAGTGGAAACCAGTAGGACTCCAAGAAATCAGAACTGGGGGGCACACCAGCAAGTGCTCGATGAGGTACATATAACCAAGGAGGGGGTGAAGAAGCTGCTATGCGAACTTGACACCTCAAAGGCGGTGGGACCAGCCAACATCTTTCCATGGGTCCTTAAAGAGGGAGCAGAGATATTGTGTGAGCCATTAACAAAGATCTTCAACACATCATTTGAAACTGGGCAACTCCCTGAGGTATGGAAAATGGCAAATGTAGTCCCAATTTTTAAAAAAGGGAGACAGACATGAGGAAACTAAACTACAGACCTGTATCACTAACATGTATAGTATGCAAGGTCATGGAGAAGATCATCAGGAGGAGAGTGGTGGGGCACCTGGAAAGAAACAAGGGTATAATTGACAACCAGCACGGTTTCAGGGAAGGAAAATCCTGTGTCACAAACCTACTAGAGTTTTATGACAAGGTGACAGAAGTAAGACAAGAGAGAGGGGGGTGGATCGACTGCATATTTTTGGACTGCAAGAAGGCCTTCGACACAGTTCCTCACAAGAGGTTACTGCAAAAGCTAGAGGATCAGGCACACATAACAGGAAAGGCACTGCAATGGATCAGAGAATATCTGACAGGAGGCAACAACGAGTCATGGTATGCGACGAGGTGTCAGAGTGGGCGCCTGTGACAAGCGGGGTTCCACAGGGGTCAGTCCTAGGACCTGTTCTGTTCTTGGTATATGTGAACGACATAACGGAAGGGATAGACTCAGAAGTGTCCTTGTTTGCAGATGATGCGAAGTTAATGAGAAGAATCAAATCGGACGAGGATCAGGCAGGACTACAAAGAGACCTGGACAGGCTACAAGCCTGGTCCAGCAACTGGCTCCTTGAATTTAACCCTGCCAAATGCAAAGTCATGAAGATTGGGGAAGGGCAAAAGAAGACCGCAGACACAATATAGTTTAGATGGCCAAAGACTGCAAACCTCACTCATGGAAAAAGATCTGGGGGTGAGTATAACACCGAGCATATCTCCTGAGGCACACATCAATCAGATAATGCTGCAGCATACGGGCGCCTGGCAAACCTACGGATAGCGTTCCGATACCTCAGTAAGGATTCGTTTAAGACTCTGTATACCATCTACGTCAGGCCCATACTGGAGTATGCAGCACCAGTTTGGAATCCACACCTAGTCAAGCACGTCAAGAAAAATTTGAGAAAGTGCAAAGGTTTTCAACAAGACTAGTCCCAGAGCTACGGGATTGTCCTACGAAGAAAGGTTGAGGGAAATCGGCCTGACGACACTGGAGGACAGGAGGGTCAGGGGAGACATGATAACGACATATAAAATACTGCGCGGAATAGACAAGGTGGACAAAGACGGGATGTTCCAGAGAAGGGACACAGACACAAGAGGTCACAATTGGAAGTTGAAGACTCAGATGAATCAAAGGGATGTTAGGAAGTATTTCTTCAGTCATAGAGTAGTCAGGCTATGGAATAGCCTAGAAAGGGATGTAGTGGAGGCAGGAACCATACATAGTTTTAAGGCGAGGTATGATAGAGCTCATGGGGCAGGGAGAGAGAGGACCTAGTAGCAATCAGTGAAGAGGCGGGGCCAGGAGCTGTGACTCGACCCCTGCAACCACAAATAGGTGAGTACACACACACACACACACACACACACACACACGCATATACAACAGGCCTAGTCTCTAATCGACATGTGCCTAGGACAAAATGGTAACACACACACATTTTTCTCTGTGAATGTGTTATAATACTTGTAGTTATAATAATTATAGTAGTGGTAGTTGTAATAATTATATATAGCAGTATTACTATTATATAATCATGATTCATATTATTCACTTTACTTACTGAGATTGAGTTATCAGGCTGGTTGAGAATTTTAATAAAGGCTTGGAGCCAGCTCGTACAGCCTTCTTACCAGCAGTTAACCTTAACTACGTTGTGCTTTAACGACCCACTTGGTCCTTGTGTCGTAATGACCATTGTGGGTTAACAACCTCAGGCTGGTATAAGAGCCTCACTAAAAATACACTTTTGCTGCTTTTACACATATAAGTTGATTTTCAAGTTTTAAATATATATATATATATATATATATATATATATATTATATATATATAATATATATATATATATATATATATATATATTATATATATATATATATATTGGGAATCAGATTGAAGGAAGAGAGTATGGAAGAGGTGAATGTGAATATTCAGATATTTAGGAGTGGACGTGTCAGCAGATGAGTCTATGAAGGATGAGGTGAATCATAGAACTGATGAGGAGAAAAAGGTGAGCGGTGCACTGAGGAGTCTGTGGAAACAAAAAGGGGAATGTATGAAAGTAGAGTAATACCAACGCTCTTATATGGGTGTGAAACATGGGTGATGAGTGTTGCAACGAGTAGAAGGCTGGAGACAGTGGAGATGTCATGTCTGAAGGCAATGTGTGGTGTGAATATAATGCAGGGACTCCGTAGTTTGGAAATAAGGAGGACGTGCGGGATTACCAAAACTATTATCCAGAGGGCTGAGGTGGGGTTGAGGTGGTTCGGACATGTAGAGAGGGTGGAACAAAATAGAATGGCTTTGAGAGTGTATAAATCTGTAATCGAGGGAAAGCGGGGTAGGGGTCAGCCTAGGAAATGTTGGAGGGAAGGGGTAAAGGAGGTTTTGTGTGCGACGGGCTTGGACTTCAGCAGCACGTGTGAGCGTGTTAGATAGGAGCGAATGGAGACAAGTGGTTTTTAGGACTTGACGTGCTGTTGGAGTGTGAGCAAAGTAACATTTATGAAGGGATTCAGGGAAACCGGCAGGCCAGGCTTGAGTCCTGGAGATGGGAAGTACAGTGTCTGCACTCTGAAGGAGGGGTGTTAATGTTGCAGTTTTATAACTGTAGTGTAAGTGCGCCTCTGGCAAGATAGTGACGGAGTGAATGATGGTGAAAGTTTTTCTTTTTCGGGCCACCCTGCCTTGGTGGGCCACCCTGCCTTGGTGGGCCACCCTGCCTTGGTGGGCCACCCTGCCTTGGTGGGCCACCCTGCCTTGGTGGGAAACGGCCGATGTGTTAATAAAAATAAAAATGTGTATACGTGGATAAAAAATTGGAGTACAAGCAAATGAAATGTGTACAAACTGTGTGTGTGTGTGTGTGTATGTGTGTGGGTGTGTGTGTGTAGTGTGTGTGTTGTGTGTGTGTGTGTTGTGTGTGTGTGTGTGTGTGTGTGTGTTGTGTGTGTGTGTATGTGTGTGTGTGTGTACAGAGGTGGTGCCATACTAACACGTGTACGGTGTTGACAGCGGCGTACGAGCACGTGGTGGCCAGGATGGGTGAACTCAACGGCACCGCCCACGCCCACCACACTGACCTGCTCTTCCTCAAGGGACTCATGGACTCGCCTATCATGAAGTCCCTCGTCAAGGTCAGTCACTTACCCCTTGTATCTCCTCTCATTAAGGTAAGACAACCATTTGTTTCTCATCGTTGAGGTAAGACACTTGTCTTCCCTCATTAAGGTAATACCTGTATTCTTATATTACTGTATTAAACTTGAGGTAAAATCAGCTGGTTCTCTACACGCTGGGAAATTATAATTCATTACGTATCTGTAAAATAGGTACCAAGAGATAAGAAATGTGTGAAGTGTTTTGTTTGAGGTGGTGTGTGTGTGTGTGTGTGTGTGTGTGTGTGAGAGAGCAGCTGGTGTTGGGTGTGACACAAGTGCTGGACCCTGGCGGCGACACATACCTGTGTGCCACACACGCAGCTTGCTGGATCACTGGGTCAAGAGAGACGTCTGGCACTCTAGCTGAACAGCGAGAGCATAACTCTGGACATCAGTGCCAGGTATGACGCAGGTAAGTCGTGATACGTGGCAGGTCAAGATTTGGAAGCTGATGGTAATAATCAGTCACGTTCGCTTTCTCACCTCTACATTTTGCCCAGCCTTGGACCTGACCTTGCTTACCTGTAGTCGCTTCCGGAGATCACCTATTATTCCTGCGGCCGGGTCCCCAGACCAGGCCTCCTGGTTCCTGGTCTAATTGATCAAGCTGTTGGTGCCCACCTCCCGCCGTCCAACGAATGCACCACAGGCCGGCTGATCGCGAACTGATATGAGGAATTTGTCGTCGTCCCTCTTGAAGACATCTAGAGATTTATTGGTAATCTCCCTCATACATGAAAGGTGTTGAAGAGCCAGGGTCCCTTTATTTTCGTTTCTGAATCGAACAGTGTGTAACTTGCCTCAATGGCTGTGTCGTAGTGCGACGACATCAGTCCGTAACTCTCATATGGAGGAGGTATTTTGTTCGCCAGGAACAATATATGGTGAAGCGGGTGTTTGAGATGACTGGCTGTTTGTCTAGCAACCCCTGGAGCAACCCTACGAGGGATGTACCCAACGAGGCTTACTAACATGTCACCTCTTATCCAGGAGGATTCAACAGCAAAGGATAATTCAAGAAAGTTAGGTAGTGGGGCATATTTCAGATAAGGTCCTTAGATAAAGTTCTAAGATGCTGATAGTCGAACAAGAGCAGTAGGTATTATGACTAGCGTCGTCCTGGATTGAACCCGGCTTCTTTTCGTTGTGAGTCAAACAGCCTGCCACTGAGCTACGAGGTATAGTATAGAAATGTGTCAGGTGTAAGGTGGTGTGTAGCAGTTTACAAGCATCACCAGCAGTGTCAGTGCTCAGTCATTTCTGTTGTGCTTGTGCTTGTGCTGGTTTTTGTTGTGTAGTTGTTGAATAGTTGTTATGGTTGTTGTTGTATAGTTCTTGTAGTTGTTACTGTGGAGGAGAAATGGGAGGTAATCATGAGTAATCTAAAGAGAAGAGCAGATGTAATTCCTCGAATCATAAGTCCTTTTCCAGGTGTAGAGGAGACAACAGTCCAGTAAAACCTTGGTAACAGTTATTGAAACTCCTATAAAACTGTGAAAAAAGACATTATGTACAGTTCAGGACAGTTATTGCAGAAAACATATTGCCACGAGTGACTTCTGATGCCATTAACATGACTCACGAAATCGTAATGACACGATTGCAAACAAACCATACCCTGGCCGGGATTGAACCCGCGGTCAGAGAGTCTCAAAACTCCAGCCCGTCGTGTTAGCCACTAGACCAGCTAGCCTCAATAAGATTCGTCCAACTAGGTATATTTCTACACAAAATTTATGTTATGTACACTAAACTTGCATAAAACTTACTTCTTGTACTTACTTTCTTAATAGGTAGTCAGTCTTATTTACAGAAAAGTTGAGATTAATTATAACATGCGTGGGTCAGAGTTTGCTAGTTTTAGCAACAGGAAAAATTGAAATACTGCTCTTCATGCGATAATTTCTGAGTATCGTGTTTGATTGATTAGCTTCAGCTCTTCCAAGCTGACAGCTTAATGCAACTTCTAAGCGGCTTCAATTTTAATGGGCTCGTGTATTTGGATATTGGTTATTCTGGTCTCTTTGAAAGGTTTGAATTAGAGTTGCTCTGTAAAATATCACAATTTGCCATTTTTACCGAAGAAATTTAGATATTAGTTTTCTTATGATGACTTGTGAATGCTTCTTCTGATTCCCTTAAGGTCTTCAACGCTAATATTTAAGCGCATTAGTAACTTATGCCGCACTCTTCACTATTCCAGTCGCATGCATTGAGGCACACGGGACTGGGTTATTAGAATACGGGGACACCTTTCTCGGATCGCTCAACTACCGAAATACAACTAGTTATTATTATATTTATGGGTAGCGCTAAACACATAAGGGTCATATAGCGCCTGGGGAAGGGGGATAAGAGGCATTGAGGTTCGAACCAAAGGGAAGAGCAAGTCTAGTTCTTTGGATGAGGAGTTTCCTCGCCAGCTCAAGGAACCTCCGTCCGGGTGCGCCAGGACAAAGACAGCAGCAGTGATAACCTTGAGTGATTCACACACTAACCAGAGATGGGTAGGTAGTTATTTGTGGTAAGGCAGTTACTTAGACCTGTAGTTAGTCCCCCTGTAACTCCTGACACCGCAACACTTCCCAACACCACCACAACACTTCACAACAACACCACCACAACGCTTCACAGCACCACCACAACATTTCACAACACCATCACAACACATTCACACCACCACAACACATCACACCACCACAACACTTCACAACACCACAACACTTCACAACAACACCACAACACTTCACAACAACACCACAACACTTCACAACACCACTAAAACACATCACACCACCACAACACTTCACAACAACACCACAACACTTCACAACACCACCACAACACATCACACCACCACAACACTTCACAACAACACCACAACACTTCACAACACCACACAACACAACACACCACCACAACACTTCACAACACCACCAAAACACTTCACAACGCCACCAACAAACACTTCACAACACCACCACAACACCAGAACACTTCACAACACCAGAACACTTCACAACACCACCACAACACCAGAACACTTCACAACACCAGAACACTTCACAACACCAGAACACTTCACAACACCAAACACTTCACAACACCACAACACTTCACAACACCACCACAACACATCACACCACCACAACACTTCACAACACCACCAAAACACTTCACAACGCCACCAACAAACACTTCACAACACCACCACAACACCAGAACATTTCACAACACCAGAACACTTCACAACACCACAACACTTCACAACACCACAACACTTCACAACACCACCACAACACCAGAACACTTCACAAACCAGAACACTTCACAACACCACAACAATTCACAACACCACAACACTTCACAACACCACAACACTTCACAACACCACAACACTTCACAACACCAGAACACTTCACAACACCACAACACTTCACAACACCAGAACACTTCACAACACCAGAACACTTCACAACACCAGAACACTTCACAACACCACCACAACACCAAACACTTCACAACACCACAACACTTCACAACACCACAACACTTCACAACAACACAACACTTCACAACCACACACCACAACACTTCACAACACCACTACAACACTTCACAACACCACAACACTTCACAACACCACAACACTTCACAACACCACCACAACACTTCACAACACCACAACACTTCACAACACCACAACACTTCACAACACCACCACAACACTTCAAAACACCACAACATTTCACAACACCACAACACTTCACAACAACACCACAACACTTCACAACACCACCACACACAACACTTCAAAAACACCACCATACACACACTCACAGCACCACACCATACACAACACCACAACAATTCACAACACCACCAACACAACACTCACAACACTTCACAACCACCACACACAACACTTCACAACACCACCACACACACACACATCACAACACCACCACACACAACACTTCACAACACACCACCACTACACAACACTTCACAACACCACCACCACACACAACACTTCACAACACACACAACACTTCACAACACCAACACACACAACACTTCACAACACCACCACCACACACAACACTTCACAACCACCACCACCACACACAACACTTCACAACACCATCACAACACTTCAAACACCACACACACAACACTTCACAACACCACCACCACACACACCACCACCATACACAACATTCACAACACCACCACCACACACAACACTTCACAACACCACCACCATACACAACACTTCACAACACCACCAACACGCACAACACTTCACAACACCACCACCATACACAACACTTCACAACACCACCAACACTGCACAACATTCACAACACACCACCACACACAACCCCTCCACAACACCACCAACACACACAAACACTTCACAACACCACCACCAACCACAAACACAACACTTCACAACACTTCACAACACCACCACCATACACAACACTTCACAACACCACCAACACATACATCAACACCTTGAGCCAGACTTGGTTCTTCCCTTACCTTAACATTACGATGTCATCCCTGGCAACAGTTGTTGATCGTAATAAAATGACAGAGTTTAAGTATGAGCAATGTCCTGGCTGCTCACATTTTACACCGAGGATCATGATGTAGGAGCATTAACTCATGCTTATATAATAAAGCCTTCTTCAGTGAACCATTTATTAATAAGAAAGTGACGGGAATCAGACCACCATTTCTTGTTTTAATTATGAACCTGATGAGTTGATAAACGTTTCGCCTGCTCAGTAGGCTTCTTCAGTCGAATATAGAGGAGACTTCAATACTGGATACAGCAGAGGCAGTGAAGAGATAAATTTAAGGTGATCAGTCCCTCAGCCTTGAAGAAGCAATTTTGAAGTGGTCATTTCCTTAGTAGTGGTAAGTGTTGAGTTCCGTAGCCTCGACTGAGGAACTGACCACCTGGT